AATATTTCTAGAGTGTAGTCTAGCTTTGCCAAATGCAAAGGAATTAAATATTTATGTTGGCAAAGTCTCATTGTTTGCTGGCCCCTCAGGCCGCTGCTGGGTCTATGACTGAAAATAGTGAGCCCTGCTTCAGGAGTAGACAAGCCTGTGTGTTTACTACACAGCCCTGTGGTTGAGCTACTGCAGTGTTCTAATACAGCTCTCTTCTTCGGGAGGACACTGTAGTTAGGGGCCAATGAAAACAGTAGCTACTCTCTGCTAATTCCACAATACTTGGAAATATTCCATAGGCTTAACTCAATGCCGTTAGGATGAAGACCAAAGTGCCAAATGTTCAAATCACCTAAAACTTAACACAATAAAAAGAATTTTTGTAATATAATTAAAAATATATTGGGGCAGAGAATTACTCATTAGAATAATATTTACCCTAGAGTTTGCCATGTGCCAGACACTGTTCTGTGTTTCATTTATATTAATTTATTCAGTACTCCCAAGGGTCCTGTGACGTAGGCATCACCCCCCGCCAGCCCCACATTCTACATATGAGGAAACTGAGGCACCAGGAGTTTAAATTGGTTTTGCCAAGTGGTGAGCTCCGAGGAATACATGTTACTATGTAATTAGTTCTCGGAACCAGTCAGAAACAGATCTAGCCAGCCTTTAAGCCAGAGCAGCCTGGTTCAAGAATTCTTAGTTTTAGCCATGACACTATATGGCCTCTAAGCAATTTGTAGGTTCTAATTGAGAGGTATGTGTAATAGCAGACAAGAACATGTGTTTCAGATTGAGATAAGCTTGGTTCAAACTTCTTTTCTGCCATGTATTAAGCTCTGCGGTTTAGGACAAATCATTTAACATCTCTGAGCTTGTGTGGATCGATCCTCTACTGGGGATGATACTACCTTGCCATTTGTTGCATTTGCAAACGATGTAACTCAGTCAGTATGGTACATACGTGTAACTGGAGTGAGCAGTCGATAATGAAAATGAAGCTACAAACAGTGCTGCTGCTCGGAGCTGCCCAGTTGATTTCCACACTGCGACGCTGATGACAGGGAAAGACTGCCCCACAGGGTTGTCCAGGCTCTGATCTTTGCCGGAGCAGAGCACCCCGTCTTTCTCCCCCAGAGCTACTGGGTGAGTTTGCTCACCATCCGTGCAGCCAGCAACTGAGCGCTGACCCACTGTGCCATCAGGGCTTCTGATTGAAATATAACCCAAGTTTGTTGTTTCACACTTTTTGTGTTAGTTAACAGGTCGATGGTTGAAGAACATTTTTAAGCATTGACGCACACACTTCAAGGTTTTTTGGGGGTGGGGGTGAGGAGACATTCTTGTAGCTCTATGCACCTTAATGAAATAGCCTCATTAGGAGTAATCCAAAAATCTGACGTTTAGCCTACCAATTGAAAGGGTTAAATCCAAGGTAAGAGCTAACCTGACTAGCCCATGCTATTGGTGCGTTCATTTTATAACTAAGTCAAAAGAGGAAGAATAAAGTAATTCGTCAGCTCGTTGGGGAGTCAGTAAAATGCAGCACAACACTGAGCAGTGTATGTAATTTTATTGGCTTGAAAGTTATGCATGTCTTTTCAAAATCAGCTATAAAAATTGATTTTACCCCCATCCCATCAAGAAATCAATAGCAATCTTTGAGTTTCTCATTTGTTTTTCTCCCTACTCCTCTTGTAATAATCACACATCTAATGGAGATCAATTTCCAAAGAAAAAACCTCAAGAATTAATAATCTATCAAATACAGCTACTTAGAGGATAAAATAATTCCCAAGCAGAAATATTACTTTATGCGGCAAGTACTACCAAAGTAGGCCATAGAAAAATGGTTAGGATTAAAGATTAATTATAACGAGGGAGGGAGGGGGAGGAGAAAAAAATGAGGAGCTGATACCAAGGGCTCAAGTAGAAAGACAGTGCTTTGAAAATGCTGATGCAACATATGTACAAATGTGCTCGACGCAATGGATGGATGGATGTACTGTGATAAGAGTTGTATGAGCCCCCAATAAAATGATTTTTAAAAAAGATTAACTCTCACAAAGCATTGCGATCATCTGCCTGCACATCTGTAGCCCCATCCCAGTCTAAAGTAGTCCTCTCATGAAGGATTTTCCTGGAATGACAGGGGATGCTTGGTCTGTACATTCTAAAGCACCTTGGCTGCCATCGCTCTTGCTCGAATAGCTCAGCCATATACATGACTGCCACAGTAGGGCTTTCAGACATCTCTTGATACGGAGCCACATGATGGGGGCAGTTTGAGATACTCCTTGGGGTGTCAGTCATGTGGGGTGATGGAGACGCAGGCACCTTGATGTGAACCTAGGCCCTCTCTCTTGTCCCAGCAGTCATTGGACCTCTCAGGACCTCCATTTCTTTATGTTTTGAAAAGTAACATGATGTAGTAGATAGAAAACATCTGGATAGTAGATGCTATTAGGTTATTTTTAACCTTTTATTTTACATGAATTTTGACGTGTGGAGATATTTTCATCCAGAGTTGTTTTTAATGTGCATCTTTGATAAAATGGACCAAATTAAATAGAATTACTGCAATCTTGTATTTTCCAGTGGGCATCAGAGAAGGGAAAAGAGCACCTGTGACAGCCTGCCAGGTTAGGGCAAAGACGTCGCATGAAGTACCATTAGGACATGATACAGTAGAAGGGCTGGAATCAAGGGCTGCAAATGTAAATTTTGTACATGTTCTAACCCATGAGCTCTGGTGGTGCCATGGTTAAGTGCTCATTGGCTGACCAAAAGGTCAGTGGTTCAAATCCACCTGCTGCTCAGAGGGAGAGGGTGCGGCAATCTCTTTTGTAGAGATTACAATCTTGAGACCATGCTGGGGCTACCCTACTCTGCCCTGCCGTCAGCACCGACATGAAGGTCAAGGGTTTGGACTTGGGTTTATTCGCTCTTCAAGTGATGTGAGATGCAGCATGGAAATTTACTAACAGAATTTAAAGTAGACAGCATCGCACAATCTTAAAGGAGTATTCAGTTGCCTGGGGCCACACTACCTGAAATCTACTATGGACTGGTGTTCTTTCAGACATTCTCCATCATGCGAATTGTTGTTGTTCTCAGGTCTTTCAAATCAGTTCTGACTCACAATGACTCCACTGGGCAGAAGGAAGCACCAGCCGGTTCGGCGCCGTCCTCACGCAATCATGGGAGTAGCCTAATGATAGCGCGCTGTACCTTTTTGTTGCTGTTAAAAGCGTGATGTTTAAAAATATTTTTATAGAGGGGATTTTGGTAGTCCTATTTTGACATGTTTTCATTTGTTAATAAATTGGGGTCCAATCCTGAAATAATAAGGTGGCTTAAGCTTCTGTTTATAGCTGAAAGGTTCTGCTACTGTATAAAGAAATCCATTGATTATCACGGGAGGCAAAAGGAAATATAATTTTACTGTGATAGCAAGTGCATATTGAATAATAATGATAACAGGAGTTAATCTTTATTGATGCCATCTTTACTGTTTGCCAGGCACTATGGAAAGTACTTTTAAAACCACTGGCTTAGGGAGTCCTGTGAATGAGGTACTAGTCTGCTCTGCTTTGCCCACACACAAAAACAGCAGCTTAGAAAAAGGCTTCCTCAAGCAGGTGACTCAGTCGGTATTTGAACTCCACTAGTCAAACTCCGTGCTGGAGCCCTGGTGGCTTAGTGGGTTAGGCCTTGGGCTGCTAGCTGCAAGGTCAACAGTTCTAAACCACCAGTTGCTCTGCTGGAGAAAGGTAAGTCTTCCTACTCTTGGAAACCCACAGGAGCAGTCCCACGCTGTCCTGTAGGATTACTATGAGTCAGAATGGGCTCAATGGCAGCGGGTTTGGCTTTTGGTGTTCGAAGTCAAACTGCAAAGTGCGTGCTCCTCTGGACAACACCCTAGGGTACCATAGTGAGCCACGGCCCAGACTCCCTTAATGAGCTTCTTTTGGGTTTGCTTTTGTGACCATTTACTTTTCCAAATTAATGTTATCCTTTTCTACACATGCTTCTGAGACCAACTTTTTGTTCCATGGGGTTCTATTTTGAGTGTCTTTAAAAATAAGCAGCAATGACTTCCCCGTTCTCCACCTTAAAGTGAGACTTCTTATTTCTCTGGGAGAGGCCGGCTCCTCAGTTCTCTAAATCCCCCACTTCTCGCCTCTCTCTGACCTATTTATGAGTGTCTCCCAGCTGCTCCTGGCCTGGGTCTCCAGGTGGCCCTCTTGCTGGCCCCCCAGGGACAACTGGCACTTCCAGGTTTAGTCGGCTGTGATGTACAGGCATCTGTGTCCCCACTTATCCTGACTACTGCGGTTACAAAGGGCCTCTGCTGAATGCAGACAGCTAGTCAGCCAAGTTGAAATTTAGACCAGAAATCTATTACCTAATTTTTAAACAAAATGACATGAAATCAGACTTGAAGATATCAAAAACATGTCTCGTAGTATGTGATTTAAGCAAGAAAATCCACATTGTTACTGCTTCGACCACAGAATAATTTACTGCAATGGGAGTTCTGGATCTTACGCCAAAAAATGAGGTCCTCTAACCAATGTCAAGGTCAATTAGCTTGTGGGAGAGCCCACAACAAAAGCAGACTATTGTGATTAGAGTCAGAAGCACCACCCAAAGATGCTGGAAAGCTTCTGGAGATTTCTCTAAGGTTGGTTTGTAATTCCCCCCCTCCCTGTGTTTAACTAAACTCCCAGAGACTCTGTGTGTGGGCACTGAACATTTTAGATTAATCTGGGAGACAATGAAAGGGGTGATCAGTTGGGGATGGGCCGTTGTAGTTTGCTTTAACTTTAGCAGAGCCTGGCTGCAAGGCTGCACACCTGTGACTATGCAAGGATTATTATGACCAAGCCCTCCAGTGTGCCACCGCCACCTCCCCCTTCCCCAGTCGCCTTCTCAAACACACTGCCACTAGCCATCTTGCAGTTTCTGGGAAAGGCCAGGTGGCTAAAGGCAGGCATACTTACCCCACAGTGAAGAACTGCCTCATCTCCTGTCTCCGAGACCTCATCAATTGCTTATACTCCCCAATCCGGAGCTTTTTGCCATCAACAATGCAGGTGCGTTTCGGCCGGGGTTTGTATTTATAGTTTGGGTACTTCTCTAAGTGAATCTTGCTTAGTCGGGCCTGCTCTTCATAATAAGGTTGCTTCTCCTGGTTGGACATGGATTTCCAGCGAGACCCTAGACATAAAAACAACCCTAAGTACCCAAATGGCCAAGGTAACATATGCCAAGCAAGTAAGATTAGAAATAGCCTGTGCCACCGCTCCACTCACCTGTGCTCCAGGTAACTTCTGCTTATCACAGCCTGTGGAGCCCAACGACTCTTGGACTAGAGGGCAACAAATAACTTTGTGCGTGGTGCTTTGACTAGGCTCCTTCTCTCAGTAATGGAAAGCTGATGCTACACACAAAATGTTTTAAAGCTTATCTCTGCTGCGTGAAGACCTTCTCCTACACAAGAGCCTTCCCTCCATCCCTGTCTTCCAAATGGGAGAGGAGTCTCAACTTCCTCAGCATCCTTTCAAGAAGCTCAGGAACATCTCTCCTGGTCCCACAAAGTCGCACATCTTCCACACAGCCAGCATCTGGAACGAAGCTAGCCTTTGCTAACATGTCAGCATGTGTTGACATTCTTCCATAAATAAAACTACTGTGCACACTGCCTCCCCTGGCCTAGGGTACTTTAAAAAGTCTGAGCTCTGCTTAAGGAATTACAGCGCTAGAGCCAGAAGGCACTGCTGCAATTTCATTTCTATTCTACTGTCAAGCACTGTCGGTGCCCATCCCAAGCTGTCCCAGTAGAAGCAGAGGTGGTCTCCGCACTAGGAAAGCCCAACTTAACAGACAAGTAGTCCCTGCCCTTTCAGTGATATCAATTCACTCTCACGTTGGAAAAGCCAATCGACCCTTCCTCGCACCACATCCGTCATCAGATCGCCTTCCCATGCTGCACAGGCAGCTCCTCAATCACTGGAAAGGCTTCAAGCCCTTCTTGCACTCAAGCCCGGCTGAATAAGAACTGCAGGCACTTGTCCCGACCTATCTCCACATTAGCCTGAAGGCCACACTTGGGGGCGGATCTCATTCGTAACCCGGGGACCGTTATGCAGAACAATTTAAAATGCGGCTTATACAAGAAGAAGGAACAGTACTCGCTTCTCTAATATTGTTTACAAAGAATTATCTAAACGCTTGACGAAGAAGGGATGTGTTTTTTATATGTATCAAATTGCGTTTGTGCGTCTCGCTGGTGAATAAAGCGCTAACAGCTGTGCTGACGGGATGCTCGCGATCCTGCAGGGGAGATTTGTCATACGTAAACAAATGGAAAAGCGGTACACATATTCTCTGGAGACAGCAGGGGCCTAGTTTGCTTTCACAGCACATCCATCCCTGATGAGCTGGGCAGAAGGTCCGCATGGCATTGTGTGCCAGTGACTCCCGTGCCCAAGGCCCCAGTGGACAGAGAATTCTTGGTACTCCTAAAATGCGTGTGCTTTGAAGTTTGTATTTTAGTGAATGCACTTACTATACTCTTAATAACTCCCCCCCACACACAAAATGCCCACCAATAACACAGATTCCCACAGCTGCCAAAATAGAAACAGAGAGGTCCTATGCTCGCTTGAAAGCTTCCTTGGGCTGCTACGAAAATAGCAACAGGGAGGGGGGAAGCCAAAAACACAGGCACAGTTCAGAGTCGGATATCAAACTTTAAGGCAGAGAAACGGTTTTAGAATGCCTTGAAAATATGAAACAGATATATAAAATACATATCTCTGTAACGATGCAAGTATAACCCCAGATAATTGTGAAGGACGTGTCTTTTATCTCTCTTGAAATTCAAAAGACAAGAGGCAAAAAGACCATGAGGAAGAAGAAAAGCCTGGATGGGTTTTTAGCATCGGTACCACTAGTCAATCATCCGTGTGTTTTTACATCTTCTTAGAGGTCACTGCCTCAAAATGTCTCCGGATCAAGTTAAAGTATTTATCTAGTGACAAAACATGTGTATTTGTGTATGTCCAGATCACTGATATTTATTCAGGTTAAATATTTATTGCTTTTGAACAAAACATTTGAAAAATTAAAACCACAGTTTAAGTCTCTAATGTTTTTCAGCTTCTTCAATGGCTTCCTGAGAGACGGCACATCAGGACAGCTTAAGCAGAACAGTTCTTTCTGTGTTTTGCTTTCTAAAGAGGAAACATGTTGACGGTAAAGCTGGCATGGTGAATAAAATATGTTCAATATGTTCAGCACAATAATTCCAAACTGTAGAAGCTGCACCAGGCAAACTTGATATGGGTAGGACGAGGCCTCAGTTTAATCCTGAGAAACAGGAGACTCACCCTGGCAATTTACCACAGAAGGGGCCTCGGCCCTGTGGTGTCTGCATTTAACTCACTGCTATGAAATTTGAACTAGTCATATCTTATTAACATGAATGTAGCTTTATTTTATAAGTTTTAAAGTTATCTTTAGAGGCCCTGCTCTGTATTCCATGAATTTCACACCCTTTGGGGGCTCGCTCCTAGGCCTGGGTGGATTCCTTTGATGGGGCACGTCAGCCTAAGGAGAGTGAAGCAGAAAACTGTCGAGTCTGTGAGAATGTCCAAGAATTTGGAGCAACCTATGATGTTAAGATGACAGCAAGAAAAAAGATAGAGCTTTTCCCCATGATTCCTGTCTATCAGCGACTTCTCAAGAGATGCCAAATACATAGTATTAACACGTATTATAAATAGTTTTGTCTCAAAAAATTTTTTTTGGGGGGGCGGGGCACCTGTGGGAATCATACTCCAACTTTCAACACGGAGGTTGGGCACGGGGAGTGCGGCCTCACAAAGACTTCAGGCTTGCTGCAGTCGCTGACTGAAGTCCAGCTGAGGCCTGCAAACCAGTCTCTTCCAGGAGCCGACGTGTGCCCCAGCGTTTCCCCCTGGGACACTCACAGGGAGAAGACCGGCCGCAGCGGCTGCACTCACCTAATATTTTGCTAATGTTGGAGTTATGCATGTCGGGAAAGGCCTGAAGGATTTTCCTCCTCTCATCCTTCGCCCAAACCATGAATGCATTCATTGGTCGCTTGATGTGTGGCTCACTGCTGGCACGGCCGCGGGCATCCCTGTAGACTCGTGCTTCCGCCACAGTGGCACCTCCTGTTGGCCAACAATAATACTGCTGTAGTTTAGCTGCAGAGCCATTCATTGCTTTACTTCCTGTAATGTCAGGGCAGGAAGAACAAGATGGGTGCAAAGCATTATTATCTGGAGAATGCAACACAGCTTGCTGCCTGGCTCCCCTCAATTTCCGAGTGACCTCTTGGAAGCCAAAGTTTTGAAGGACACTGCCGAAGACACACCCTTCTGATGCAGGTTCTCAGACACACTGAGCAGAATTAAGTTTGCATATTTCTCATTGACCTTGAACATTCACTTAGGGCCCCGGTGGTGCAGTGGTTACACAGTAAGCTGCATACCATAGGTCAACAGTTCAAACCCACTGGCTACCTCACCGGAGAAAGATGGGGCGGGGCTACTCCTATAAAGATCACAGCCTCAGAGACCTTATGGGGCAGTTCTACCTTGGTTTTTAAAAAATTTTCAAGATCATTTTACTGGAGGTGCTTACACTCTTATAACTCTTATAATGATGTACTGTATAATCCACACATCAATTGTTGAAGCCTATTTTCTACCTTGCCTTATATTGTTGCTGTGAGTCGGAATCCACTCAGTGGATGTGGCACATTTACTACGATCAATTCTGTGCAATGATAAAGCAATGATTGTTTTTATTTTATGGTACACTAACTTGCTGGAATTCCTTCCTTCAGCAGCCGACCCTGAGCTTCTCATTGGAGCCTCATTTGCCACTAGATTTCCCCCTGCTCCCTCACAACACGGGCCGCCTGCTGTTCTCCTCACGCCCGGAGGACCCTTCTCTTAGTGGGCAACACTCAGTCCCACGACTCCTTCAAATCCTACTGAGATATTGGTGAGTTTGAAAAATATTAACTGAACAATGACTATGAAGTAAGTTGTATGAAAGTTACTACAGGAACAAATATGAATAAAATGGCCACCAAGAGTTCAGAAGGGAACAGAGGCTCAAGACAGAGCGTGGGAAGGCATGCAACAATGAAGTAAACAGATTAAGAGAGCACCTGCCAGGACTGGCAGCAAATACTCTCTGAGAGAGGTGATGTCTCTGTTGAGTCTTGGAAGATGTGTAGGAAGTAGCAGGTGATGGGACAGTGCAGAAACGACGGATGGGAAGGACAATGGGAAAAGAAACACATCCCAATGATACTCCACAGGCTGCCGCATCCCTGTTCCCTCCGCTCTCCAGGCTCCACAGTAATCACTTGTTTTAAGCAACTAACTCCCAATTATCTTTCTACCCCAAATATTGGCTAAATATTTCTTGAATAAAAAAATTGTTTGGCTTTCAACTTATATGCAAAAGCAGTAAAAAAGAGATATTTGTTTAAAGAATCTTGATTAATTTTTTTGTTGAGGTTACTTCTCTAACATGAAAGAACTATGAAATTATGTCTAAATTGCTATCATTGTATAGTTTCATAAGAGTGGACTCCAGTAGCATACTAGACTGAGCTCTCCTTGAGGGCAGGGACTGAGGCTTGTATGCTGCTGTATCCTAGGATCCAGCAAAGTACCTCGCACACAGAACTCCAATTCATAAACTTGATGAATAAACGAATGACTGATTGACTATACCCATATGGCACTCCTGTTTGGTTTGAACATGCATGCATGGCACACAGAGGTGAGCTTTGCAATGTGATGACTACTGCCTGTCTTCCTGTAGACTAAACGCTAAATACAAAGTGGATGGACTGACTGATGGCTTCAGCCAAGGCTTAATGGCATCAACTGGAAATCTTTACCCCCAAAAGCTTAAAATCAAGATACACATGAAAACTAACATCTTTATGTTTCTAGAAAAAATTAAATCCTTTCAGCTCAGTTGAGTTATTTTACAGGAACAACATGACACAATCAATCTTTGGCCCTTCTACTTTATTTCTAGATATCTTGATTAAATAGAAATTTGTTTGTGTCAAGGCTCGTAATAAATTACAACATTAAAGTGCACTATTATTTGGCAAATATGACCATCATTTACTGCAAACAAAAGGCAGGATTAAAGGGCCACACTGGCTAACAAGGAGAACTCTTTTCTAAACATGAAAGGTGATGGGGTGGGGGAAGGGCACTCTCTGAAGATGATGCAAAAATAACATATTTTATAAACAGCCCTTCTTCCAGGTCTGCATGACAAAACAATCCCTTATATGAAACGCTCAGATCCCGAGATGCATAACTAATATGCTACCTTTTTGCCACCATACCCACAGTACATTAATTTCATTTAAAATTCACTGACCATACAGGATAAATTGATTTCACTTTATGTGGCTTTGACAGCCATGTTTGTTGTGCAGTGAAATGTAGTGTAGCTTCCAGCTGACAATATCCATCAACACGGGGCGTTATGCTGACTGCTGGGCCAGATGAAGGCATCCATTACTCTGGGAGTGAAACACTCATTCCGATACGACAGCATCTTCTCCTGAGGATCACCATGGTAATTTATGACGCCCCCAGTGCCATTCTTCTACAACTGACATGGATTCAGCAATTTATATACTTGCATGCATACACATAAAAGCAGACAGGTTTGTCGAGAATGTCAGATGCAAAACCATTTCAATATAATTCTAAGTTAACTACTGTGCCACAGGTGACTACCATTTGAGGTCTGGTTTCATTGCCATAACTTTCTCTCCACTGCAAAACCAAATAGCCAACTTCCATTCATGTAGCCACTCTGAATATATATCTCATTGTGAATGGGAAGGTTTTTAATCTACAGACTAATAGGGATCACACTGGGTATTCAGACTCTGGCTTTCCTATAGAGAGAGATCCTAGATTCTCCATTCCAAATTGATGGGCTTCTTCAGCCCTGTCATCCTTAGGCCCAGTCCTTTTCCTTGCCCTCTTGGTCGCATCTTTCCTCCTACATCTTCCTACAAAATCTATCCTTTCCCTAATAGCAGGGCTCAGAGCCCACCTCCACTAGCTTCTTACATGGACCTTGTCCCTTCCATCCCAGTATATACTATCTGTACCATGCTGACTGACACAGCAGAGCTTATAAAGCATTTTCCCAGAAATGGAGAAATTCAACCACAGTGCACAGTATAAAAATGAGAACAAGGAAAAAGAAAATCTCTTGGACATGTTCACTTGTCCTCCTTTTCTTTCCCTCTTCTTTCCTGCAGAGACAATTTAGTGTAAAAATAATAGCAGGATCCTAAGCAACCAGAAATGTCATATGAGAATAACCAAGATTTAGGAAGAAGAGCCTTACTTCGGCCACTTATAAGTCTGCCACCTTTAAAATTGTACATGGCATATTATTAAGCATCAACTTTAGCAACAACTCTACCAATTTTCAGTATCTTACTCCCACAGAGTGGCTGCTGGGTTTGAACCATCAAACTTTCAGTTAGCAGCTACCTGCTTTAACCATTGTACCACCAGAGCAGATAGAAGAATAAAGACAGTGAAGCTATGGAGAGAAAACAGAAACAACGAAGGCAAAGACCTCCTAAGAAAGCTGTGATTTTGAGCATCTACAGAGAAGACTAAAAGTGACGTTTTCTAGATGGGTTGGGAAAAAAGATCAGTCACCATCATAGCCTATTGTAACGGTACTGAACTCATCCCCAGAGAGGCCCCTTCCTCAGTGAATTCAAAAGGTAACGTGAGTGAGTGTATGTATGGGGGGGGTACCCCCACACACAAAAAAACAGAATTTGTTTCAAGCTATGTCTTTAATTTTTTTTTTTTTTACAAAACAACCTTGTCACCTTCAAAGTACTCTCCATTACACTTAATACATTTGTCAGATCTGCAATTCCATTCTTGGAAACATTTTTCCAACTCATCTGTTTGGATAGCTGACAGCCCCTCCCTAATTTTTTCCCCTCCCCTCTTCTATGGCATCAAATCGCTGTCATTTCATGTCCCTCTGCATTCGCAGAAACAAGAAGTCTCATGGAGTGAGGTCAGGTGAGAAAGATGTGTGGGGCAAGAGAGGCATGCTGTTTGGGGCCACAAACTGGCGCACTGAGATGGCTGTGTGAGCAGGTGCATTGTCTGCAGCAAAAGCAGTCCCCTGTCTGCAACAAATCAGGCCTTTTTGGGTCACACACTGTTATGCCATCTTTTCAGAACCTCTAAATAGGAAGGTTGATCAACAGTTTGACCTTGTAAACAAACTCCAAATGTACTACCAGTCAGCATTGTCATCTGTTCAGGAAGTTGACAGATGTCCAGAATGAGATTTGTCATCAGTCAACCTTTTTTGAAATGAGAAAACTACTCACACACTTGAGTTTCTTCCCAAAGCACTGTCCTTATAAGCTGTGTTCAACACCCAACTGTTTCTGAAGTATTTTCCAGATCAGGAAACAAACTTTCACAGCCCACGCTGTTCTAAAACAAGGTTCGAGTACAACTGCTTTTATGAAAAAATTCACCGTGACCAGAGAGACCTTCCCAAGGCAACACCGCTGGGTGCACTAACTGGCAGCGAGTTGCTTGCTGCTCACCTACTGGGGAAAATGTATCCGCTCTGCCAAGCACAACTCCAGTTTGTTTGTTTGTTGGAGTGGGGGGCGGGGCGGAGTGGACAACCCCTCCTATATAGTTCTCTCTCAGGAGAGACTCAGGCTAATTTGATTTCATGTTTTGTAATCATTTAATTATGTATTAATTCAGGGAAGACTTCACACACATTTTAGATGTGCTTTGTATTGTGATGGGGTATACAAAGGTAAATAACATATGTGCCTTGGGCTTAAGTGCTTTGGTCCAGCAGGGTAACATACATATAAATAGGCAACTGCAAAAGAGCCTAAGTGCTAAAAAAAAAAGAAAGAAAGAAAGGAAAGAAGAAAGGAAGGGGGGGGACTTGAAGCTACTATGAAAGCAGAGAAGATGAACTATTCTAACTCTCTTGGAGCAAAGACCAATGACTGTCAGGGAGGGTTCAGACAAGAAGTGACGCTCAAGCAGCATTTTACATAAAGATAAGAATTCGCCAGCAACTGTGATTGTGAAGGCATTCAGAGAGACTAAAGGCACAGAGGTGTTACAAAAATGCAATGGATCATAGGATGGAT